TTGCGCAGTCGCTCAGCAGCCGGCAGCGGCGACCCTGGAAGTCCTCCTCGTCCCAGAGCGTGAGGCTGGCGGGCGGCGGGCCCGGCGCGGGGGCGCTGCTCATGCCGCTGGGGAGAGAAGGGTGGGACCAAAGGCTCAGCGTCCCTCAGCCCCCATCCGGGGCCCAGGCTCGCCCAACCCGGGTTGGGGGTGAAGAACGCGGGGCTGGACCAGGGCCGCTAGAGGCTCTCCCTCACCTCGCCCTCCCCCGCCCCGGAGAAACCCTGCCCCAGCACCGAGTATTCACCGGGTGGGTGAGCGCGGTACTGACGGAAAAATGGAGAGGCTGCGCGCGGGCCGGGCGTGCGGGGCTTTATACCCGGCCTCGCCTCCCCTCCCCGCATTCCCTCCCGCTGGGGTGGGGGGAGCTGAGTCAGCGGGCAGGATGCGGTCAGTTCTGGTGTCCTCTGGGGAGCCGAGGCCTTTCCCAAAGCCACCAATCTGGCCCCAGCCCTCCGGGATTACAATAGAAAGTGCTGAGGCACACGTCCCGCGCCCGCCACAGCTGAGGCTGACTCCGCTTTTTCTTTATTGGGGGCCTGAGCCAGGCAAGGCGCACCCGAGCTCTGGGCAGAACGCGCCCTCCCTGGCCCGGACACTTAGGGATGGAGATACCAGGTCACCCTGGGGACGCCCGGCTAAGACCGCCTATTCTTGACCGGAGGGCGCGGGGAGTTCTTCCCAATGTCTAAACTCCGCCTCTTCCTCAGGCTTAGGTCAAGGCCTCTCTTTGGGGCCACGCTGGGCAGGGAGGGTAGACACGACTTTCCGCAAGAGACTTTCCTCACGCCCCTCAGTCCTCTTTTCCCCGGAGGATCGGCCCGTTGTGGCTCCTTTCCACCCAAGCTTGAGTTCCCAGAACCGGCTCTGCGGTCCCGGAGTTTTCACCCGCAGGACTCGCCGCGAGGCGGCGCTGAACTCGGGGAGAGTGAACCGCCCAAGGGAGGACGCGGATTTACGAAGCGCTTAGAAATAATAGTAGCTAGCGAAGTGGCTCGCTGTGGTAGGTAGAAAGAATATTTCAACCTTAGCGCGACTCTCCCAATCGCCACACCGAGCTCCAGGGTCTGAGAGCTCTGGTTGGGAGTGAAGGGCCAAGGCTCTTACCCTCATTGCCAGCGCCCTGTGTGTCGGGGAGAAGTGTGGGAGGGAGAGAAGGAGGAGGAAAGGCTTGGCGACCTAAGGGAGGCTCCAGGGAGGACATTTCCTCACAATTGACCGCGGAATGTTCCAACCATCGTAGCTCTCAATGAGGCACAAAGACTTCTGGCAAAATTGTGAGTTTTCCTTAATGGAGGGGCTATTCCAGCAGAAGTGGAGGAGAGAGTGAGAAGGGAACTAATAATATTTTGTTGCTCCTATGAGCCAAGTGCTTTCTTTATAGACTCAACAACAGTCGAGAGCAGTAAGCTTGGATATACAGATGTGGGAACTGAGGGTCAAGGGTGCGCCGACCTTTGGCCAGATTCACAAAACCGGTGTCGAAGCAAGATTAGAATTTAAACCTTTTGACTCCAAAGCCAGTCCTCTTGCCACTCAGCCTCCTGTGACTAAAAGGACTCACAGGCCAGATGCAGCCACCTCCAGCTCCTGGCAGGCTAGCCATGCTGACCGTCCATCTTTTCTCCCAACTGCCCAAAGCTCATTTCCACCTCAGGGCCTTTGCATTTGCTGTTCTTGTTGCCTGGAGTGTCTTAGTCAAAGACTTTGGCATGCTGGCTTCTTTATTACCTCCTGAGTGATGCTGTTCCTGGCATTTACGATTCATCATACCACCCTGTTTTCTTTTCTTCTTCTGTTTTTTAAAATGTTCTATTTAATTTTCAGAGAGAGACAGAGCAGGAATGGGAGAGGGGCAGAGAGAAAGGGAGATACAGAATCCAAAGCAGGCTTCAGGCTCTGAGCTGTCAGCACAGAGCCTGATGCGGGGCTCAAACTCACAAACCTGTGAGATCATGACCTGAGCTGACGTCTGAAGCCCTAGGCTTAACTGAGTAACCCAGGCACCCCTCACCCTATTTTCTTTACAGTGTTTGTCACTCTAAAGCTGTCTTCGTCTTTTGTTTATGTGTGTTTATGGCTGTACCGAGTGTCTCCCTTGCTAGAGTGTAAGCTCTGTTTAAGGAGGCAGGGGCTGTGTCAGTCCTGTTGTTATCCTCAAACCCAGCATGGTGCTGGACACATAGTAGGTGCTCAATAAAACATGAGTGAGGCAACAAAGTGGTCAGGCTGGGCCATATGTCTGGGGGAAGGGGAAGAGGAGTAGAGGAAATTACCCAGTGAGAGAGCTAGGGTAATGGTTTGCCCACTCTACCAACTCCCCCCCCACACACACACACACAAATTCTGGAGTGCTGAGAACAAGTGCTGGGAGCCACTGGAGCCTCCCTTGGGTCTCTCTTTTCATTGGTAAGGAATAGCTATTGAGGATCATAAGGTGTGTGAAGGTGGATGCCAAGAATAAAGTGCCCTAAAACTGAGAAGTAAAGCACAGTTAGTAATATTTGAGTCACAGCAAGGACGACCATATGGGGTTGACTGGAGACGGGGTCAGAACCATACCAATTCCCTGATTCCCTACCCTTGGTGGGCAGTGGTTGGAGAAACACAAATAGGGTATACTTTCCCCAAATCCATAAAGAGGTACAAAGTATCGAGGGAGGCAAGAGCCAGTCCTGGATTCTTCGTGTCCTGGCCCTTGGACTTTGCCTGGACATGGTGGGAGGTGAGAACCTGAATCTCTCCTTCTCTCCCTTTACCTCCCTCTTCCTCCATCTCTATCAGAAATTCTGGATTCGGCCACCAGGAGGCGCGGGCGGGACGCGACGGAGGAAGCGGGCGAAGAGGGTTGAAGTGGATGAGGGAGTTGGTCCGGGGCTGAGGTCGGAGGGGCGGTGAGCGCGGGTGGCGAGTGCGTCAGGCTGTGCGTCTGCGCTGTTCCGTGACGCTGGCGCTCGGTGTCAGCTTCGAAGGTGCGCTGGTGTCTCTTAGATGGACAGTGTGTTTGCGGGAGGTGGGGCGGGGGTCCTGGGCGCGGCCCTGAGATTGGGGCTCCGCCTAGGTGGGCAGTTTCCAGTTTCTCAGCTGGCCAGACAGCCACATTCTACAGTAGGGGCGCGCGCTCGCGGGGTGTGTGTTCACAGGCCAGGGAAGTAGTGGGGAGGAATAACAGCTGAGATCCAAATTAGAATTAGGAATCAGGCTGGGATTTGGGGGTGGAGACCCTTTGGGTGAAAAAGGACTCCGCCCCTTTTCTAGTCCTAAATTCGGCTTGTGGCTCTGCTCTAAGAAGCTGTGAGGCACTAGCCAGCCTCTTCCCTCCTGCATACCTCAGTTTCCTCATCAGGAAAATGGTGTGTAGGGCCCATTCATTGCTCCCCCTAGTTGTAGATGTCTGTGCCCGGCTCTCTCAGAAATGGGCACACCCACCAAGACCACCGATAGGCAGTTGCCTAGTCCTCTCTCAGGGTCCCCACATCCCCCAGACCCCTCCCTGGCTCTGGGCCTCAAAGTCATGGAGAAAGGGAAGAATGACCCACTGAGGGGAAGGGGCTGTCAGGTGGCCCTGCCTGGTGTGCTGGAATGGGACTCTGGGATCCCTGTCCCTTTTCTGTGCTATGGACCCCTGTCCCAGCCTCCTTTCTCCTTTCTCTGGTCCAGCTCCAGCCCCCCAGCTTCCCCCCACCCCATCCCAATCCCCTCCTAGCCCCCTCTCAACCCCCAGCAGCTGGTCCTGTTTGTTTTCCCAGCTCAGTTGCACTCAGAGCTTCCTGAAGGATGGATGCACAGGTGGCTTTGTTTGCCAGCTCAGCACCCTCACCCCTACCTCCTCTGCATCCACGGCCTCAGCCTTTGGGCATGGAGGGGGGAGTTAGACAAAAAGAAAATGGTGTCCCAGATCTACACTGCCAGGAGACCTCAAGATCTCATAGGGATCTCATCACCCTCAAAGAACTCCTACCCGCACCCTATCCAGCCCTGCCTCTCTTATGAGGACTTTCAGTCCCACAGAGAAATCTTCAGTCACCTTCCTCACGATTCTTCAAAATCTCACAAGGCACCTGAAGATCCCAAAGAGAAACCAGCAGACTCAGTCCTGTGTTCTAAGAAACTGTGAGGCCCTCAGACCCCAGTCAGATACCCATCCCATAGGGGACATGCACGCAGATCTGACAAAGAAACACTTAACCTGATCCTGGGCTCCCACCCAGGTCTCTATTCTTTCCATGTAGAGGCCCTGAGAATCCCCAGGGACATCTCCCTCACCCATCCCTGAACAGCCTGACTTCTCCGTATGGCCGGGCAGCTTAGAGCAAGCACCCAGTGGCCAATGTCCTCTCCTCAAGGTGGCCTGCTCCCACCTCATTTCACTGGGAAATCAGTCAGGGCTTTGGTGACTGAAGATGCAAATTCTGTGACTGGGGCCCTCCCTCCCCTGGTCCCACCACAAGCCTCTTCTTGGCGCCCCCCCCCCCCCCCCCCTGCCCCCCCCCCCCCCCCCCCCACTCCCCCTTCTAGAGCCTGGAACTGGCAGAAGGACACTTTCCCTGGGGCTGTGAGATCTGGTCTCCTGGGAGACAGAGATAAGTGAGTGAGAGATCAGTTCAACTCAGGCAGGGTCCAACAGCTGGCCCCAAAAGAGTGGGGGGGGGTCCTGTCGGGGCGGGAGCCCCACCCACATACCCGTTGTCTTACCCTGCTAGAAACAGAGTCCCTCTTCTCTGCCCCTCAGTAGGGTGAAGAGCTGGCTACCATCCGGGGAATTGGAAGGCCCCTCCCACTACCACCCACTCACCAGACGCAAAGCGATGGGGCTCACACAGGGCAGCAGGGAGAGGGCACGCGCATACATGCATTCACACGGTTGCAGGCACGCAGACAGATCCGGCAGGCATCACATGCGATCACTCTCCTAGGATTCAGTAGACCCCTCCAAATCACACTCATTTATGGGCACACACTTGTTCACTCACTTATTCCTCAAACGTTTAATACAATGTGCTGTGTGCCACTCTGTGCTGGGTGTTGGAGTACAAGTACGCCCTTCGCTTACACATGCACATATCCCATTCCACGGCCACGGAGAGGAGGAGAGAAGGTGTCTCAGTCACCCGCCCCTGATCATACAGACACTGAAGGGTTAAGAGTGCTCTGGAGTCTTGCGCTAAAGCCTGGGTTCAAATCCAAGCTCCCCTGCATATAAGCTGCACTCTACTTCTCAGTTTTTCCCTCTGTAAAATGGGGACAATAGTCTTAAAAAATGTGGTGAAGATTTAGGTGCATGTAAAGCACAGAATTGGCGTGCCATATGCACCCAATAAATGTTAGCTGCTCTGTCATTGTGGTTGTGGTTATAACTGGCTTTGCGGCATGGTTTACCCCGCCCCCCACACCCGCAGGCTGGGCTGGGCTGGGCTGGAGGGAGGAGTCAGGGCAGCAGGCAGAGCTCTGGGATCTGCATCCCCTTTTCCACATTGGCCTTGTGGAAGCCAGCCTAGTACTCAGGAGGGAGAGCCTTCCTGCTTCACCCCATTCAAGTTGCTCTGCCCTTGATCTCAGTTTAGGAGATCATGAGTGGGGAGGGTCCGAGGGGGTGTATCTTAATGTCCTTTGTTCTTGCTCAGGCCTCTGCTCTTCTGGAAAGAACACTTGAGAGTGGAACTGGGGACCTGACTTCGGGTCTGAGGCTTTGCTGGCTCTATAGGTGCCCTTGGGCAGGTCATTCCCTCTCTTGAGGCCCCAGTTTTGTACTAACTGCTGACCCTGGAAGGGCCCTCCCAACCCTGACTGCTGTGATCCTGTGATGCCTCAGGAAGGCTCTCTCCCCGCCCCACCCGGCCTCTGCACACCACCCCCCACACCTAGCCAGAGTGAGGGGGCGAGTTGCCAAGGTCGCCATGGGGACTAATCTCTAAGAAGGTCAGTGAGGCTCTGGTTCTGCCTTGGCCGGATGGGGATTAGCACCTGGGTATGAGGCCCCCTCCCCCCCCCCCACTGGTGCCTCCACTCCCAGGTCCCCTGACTCTCACATAGACCCTGGGTACCCTCTGCGTCCAGAGGTTCCAAGGCTGAGTCACAACCGGCAGGTGGGCAGGGGGTCGGTCAGCTGCCACAGCTGTCTGTTTCTCCAGCTGTGGCCAAGACAGAAAAGGGCAGAGACGGAGTCAGACCCAAGCCCCTTGCTGCTCAGTGCCCAGTAGGGCCAGAGCCTTGCCCCTCTTCATCTTTTGCCCTTTAATGGGGAAAGATGGGTTTCTCAAGAGAGGGGTATCAGCCCCACCCCCAGCCTTGGCTATAGAAGCCACTCGTCTCTCCTCTCTTGGGGGTAATTTCCCGCAATGTGGGGTTGGAAGCTGTTTTCACATGGTGGACCCCTACCTCCACAGACACTGTGCCTTCCACCTCTCGATACCCTGACCTTTGACCTGGCACCTTGGAATCTCTCCATCTCTCTGAATTGTGCATCTCTTGTTAGGTCGCGTTGCCTCTGTGTCTCTGCCTCCGTCCATTTTCTCTGGTTTCTCTCCGGTTGTCTCTGCCCTCTCTCTAGCTCTGGCTTTCACAGGGGGATGATGAGAGGGCTGCAGCTCCCCCCCTCCCCGTCCTGAAATCTTCCCTGTGTCTCCCATCCCTTTGGGCTGCACCCTCTGTCTGTCCTTCTGTCCTGCTTGTGTTTTCTGCTCTCCTCCTCCCTTCCACATTTCTCCTCCACGCTTTTCCCATCCCACCGCCACCCGCACTCCCACTGCTCAGTCCCTCTTTCCGCTTCCTCCACTACCTGTCCCCTCCCCCGCCTGGGGTGCTGACAGGGATGACAGGAAGCAGGCTCTGGCTAGGAACAGGAAGGGGGAGGGGTAAGGGGGCCCCTCGAACGCCAGCTGCTGAGCACCCCCCCCCCTCCCAAGCCCCGCACCTGCAGGCCAGCCTGGCGCCTGGAGTCTCCGCCCCTGGCCAGGCAGGGAGGAGGGACCTGGACGAGAGGCCCGTTCCCTGGCCCTGGTCTGGAAATGCGGGTCTTGGGGACTGGGAGTGGAGTTCTGGGGGAAATTGGGCCCTGGGGGGGGGGGGGAAAGGCAGTGGCTCTCAGTCACAACGGCCTCTGGTGGCCTGCCCGCTGCTGGCCTCATTCTTCCCACCCCCCCCCTTAACTGTGGGGGCAGTCATTTCAGGGGGAGAGCTCTTCATTGTGCAGCCCCAAGATTTGGAATCCCAGCCAAAGGTGGGGAGTTTTCACCCCCTTCCACGATTAGGGAGGGGAAGAGGAAGCCCTCAACGACACAGGGAAGATGTGCCAGTGCTGGGTCAGGCCCCTAACAGGCAAATCATTCAGTGCCAGGCAAGGAGCAGAGGGCTGGGCCCAGGACAGAAGCCTGGTCAGGGGGCCAGGATGGGGACTGCACATATCCCAGCATGGGGACCCATGGATGCCCCCTCCCTGGGGCTGCTGCAGTCCACCCCCTCCCAGAACTGCCTGGAATCTGTCAGAGCCATCTCATCCCCTCCCCCTCCCTTTCTCTGTGCAGAGGACTCAGCAGATCCCGAAGGCCCTGCGGGTAGGTAGTTGGGTGGGGGTGATGGGGGGGGGGAACAAGTGGAGGGGACAAGCCAGCACCTCCAGAAGCATCCAAAATGGAGCTGGAAGAGACCAGTGACTCCTCACCCTCCTCTTTCACTGGGGGCTACCTCTGTCGGGGAGTACAGTTCCTACCCCATGATGCTTCCTCACCCTAAGGGGAAACTGTAGCTCCTTACTGCTGTCCAAGGAGGCTTCCCTCCACCTACGACCCTCTCTCTGGGGCTAGACCAGCATCACCATCAATGTTGAGAGAGGAGGAATGACGGACACCTGGAGTGAAAGGACAGAGACTCAGCTAAGGGCTCACACTGACCTCAGGCTGTGTGTGGAACCCTCAGTTCTAGACTCTCCGGGGCAGGAGGCCAGGGGTCTAAGGCAATCTCCAGCCCCCTCCCTCATGTCAGATCTTAACACTTTGACTCCCTGCAGAAGAGGGACCGGCTGTCTCAGGTTTGGTTGTGGCTAATGACCCGTGGACTCCCACCTAAGATGAGGGCCACTGAGACCCACCCTCTCCCCCAGCTGCATATAACAGGAAGCCTTGGGATTATGAAGTTTAAGAAAGGTGGTTGGCTGTGGTGCCTGGGGACCCCACTTGGCAAGGGCTACCAGGCCCCATTTGTCCTTTTCCATCTGTCTGTCTGTCTCAGACACGGGAAGACTGAAAGAAAGGCCAGGGAGATGGCAGGGAGCGAACCCTCAGGATGTCAGCACCAAACAGATGTGAAGGAGCAGACTTGATCTTCATCTGGTTCTAGCTCCCCCACCCTGATTTTCCACACCTCCTCACAGCTAACACTCCAATCCCTCGAAGGCCTCCAACTTCCCAGGTAAGTGGCTCAGCATTATTGCTAGAAGCCCCGAAACCAGGATCTGGGGACTGGTGAGGGCCTTGCCCAAGGCCAGACCAACCCCTCTGAACATACAGGAAAACCGAGGAAAGGCTGGGAAATGACTTGCCCAAGGCCAGAGAGGTCGCTGGGACAGAGAGGGACTAGAAGCTGGGTTTCCACCTCCAGAAGGGCTCCTGTTTCGGCCACAGCCCCCTATGCCACCCGGTGGAGCCTGCTCAGCCGGCCCATATTACCCGGAATCGAGCCGGGCAGCCCCGGAGTTGCGGGCAGGATAAGGCAGGGCGGGCGGGGCCGGATGGGAGCCGGATCTTCCCCGGGAGCGGCTCGCAGCCTCTCCGACCCGTATGGCGGCGGCGGCGGCGGCGGCGGCGACGGCGACGGCAGGTGCCTGCGTGGCGGTCGGGCCCGGCCCCGGGGCAGGTGCTGAGAGGCCACCCCTGCCTCACGCGAGCCGAACGAACAAAACGCTCAGGTCCGGTTTGTGCGAGGGGCTCGTCGCGGGGCGGGAGCGGAAGGCCCGGGGCCTGGCTGTGGCCCTTGGTGATCTCCTGTCCTGGTCTTCCGCGAGCACAGTGACACACAGCGCTCCGCTAGCCGCCGCCCTCACCTGCGCGCATCTGCGGCTGACACGTCGCCCGCCGGGACGGCCACCGCAGGTGTGCACCTGGTCCGCCCCTCCCTTCCTGGCCACCCTTCACCTGGCCGGGCCGTGCTTGGCTTGGTCCCCAGCCCACTCCCCGGAGCTTGTGCGGAATTCTGGGCTCAGCGAGCCCTTATACGGCCTGCTCAGTCCCCGCCCCTAGTCACACACACACACACACACACACACACACACACACACACACACCTGTCCGGGCGCCCGTTTGCTCCAAGCAAATATTGACTCAGAGGAGGCGGAGCGCCCCCACCCCCTCCTCACCCCTGCCAGGGCTCTGGGGCCTGAGCTCTTTGGAGGCCTTGGCCGCGGGGGTGGAGGGGGGGTGTCGGGGACCTGGGCGCCTCTGGAACAACACCAGATGTCACTTTTCCACCCACCTGCCTCGGGGAGGGGGGGGTGGGGGAGGAGCAGAGGATAGAGGCTGCCGGGAGGAGGTTAGGGGGAGTGGGAGGGGAGGTGGGTATCCTGGGGGACGAGGGACACTCCCTAGGCTGGTGATTCAGATTCACGATGGGAATCGCTTAGTCGGGTCTGTGGCCCGCTAGCTGTGACCTCCACCCGCGTCCCAGCGTCTAGCTCAGCCCTACGCGACGTGCCTTGGTTTCCTTTCCTTCTCAGCTCTTAGCAGAGCCCCAGGAGCCCGGCAGATGCTGAGAAAGGGCTGGCGATGGAAGGACCCAGCCTCGGAGCAGGCGCAACAGGGAAAGGGGAGGGGTGGTCACCTCGCCGCGCGGCCACCTGCTGCTCGGACTAGGCCGGGAGCTCAGTTCCTGTCCACCAGGCAAAGGCCAGCTAGGCCCCGCCCGAAGCGCCCTCCACTGGCCAAACCAGGTCCAGCGCCCGGCAGAGAGCGGCGGGAACTCTCGCCCAGCTGCGCTGTGGAGCGGAGAGGCGCAACTTTCCAGCACCCAAATCTGCAATGAGTCGCTGCAGTCCACCTCAGCCACTCCAACCATCTGTCCCTCCCAGAACGCGCGCGAGAATTCCTCCTAGGTCGGGGAAATAAAGTCAAGGCAGATACGGGGGGAAAAAAAGGCTATATGCTTTACTGGCGGGGCGGTGGAGATGGGGGTCCTTAAAGCAGTAAGTCCGTGGGGCGGGGCGCTGACACCTGCAGAGTGTTGGTAGGGGGCGGCGCCACCGGGCGGGGCACCTCTGCTTGATGCAGCCCGAGGGGCGGCGCCGCCAGCAAGTCTGGAGTCACAATCCTGGAAGGCAGAAAGCCCCAGTAAGGCGTTGGAGAGAGGCTTCGGGCCGAGCCAGCCCGCCCCTGCCGTCCCTCGCGCCCTTCGCGCGCAGTCGGCGCCCCCACCTGGAAACGCTGAACGGGGGCAGGGCGATGACGCGCGGCCGGGAGGTGAGCACCACCTCCCCGCGGCTCGCCTCCACCAGGATGTTCTGGATCATGTTCTCCAGCAGCGCCTCCTGCAGGTTGGCGAACGCCGGGAGACTGCGAGTGGCGGGGACACGGGTGTCAGCACCGCCCTCTACAGCGCTCGCGTTCTCCGCTTCCTCTGTGCTGTATACTGTGTGCCCTGTGCTCTACGTGGATTCTCATTTAACTTCCTGCCCTTCCAACACTATAAGGCATCCTTGTCCCAATTTTACAGACCCCCAAATTGGGGCTTAAAAGGGACCAAGTTGCCAAACGTTACACTGGCTGGTGCCAGTGGTGAAATCCGAACCCAGGCAACTGTAGGCCCCATCTCATCTCAGGGCCAGGCTTGGGAAAAGGCATCCGGCGGTGGGAGGGTCCTGAAGGGACCAGGTGGGGCCTAAGGAATCCCAACAAAGACAGAAAGCTGCCCCCAGAGCAGCCCCAGGGGAAGGACCTACCAGAAGAGGTGGTGCTTCTCTCTGGCCTCTAGAAACCCATTTAAGAGACTTCAGAGACTAGAACTACCCCCTGGAGATGATGTGCTAGTGAATGTTAATAGCCGGGTCTTGGAGGGAAAAAGTAAATCTCAGATTGCCATTCTGTAAATACCCCCTGAAGGCCTTCAGCTCAGAGAGATGGGAGTGCAGCTGAGCTGGGAAGAGCCTTGCACGCAGATAGAGGCTGGCCCCAGCACACCACTGCCTCCCGGGATCCTTCTGTGCACAGCCACCCTCCAAACCCTCGCCTGGCTCTGGTTCCTCACCGGCTGATCGCCTCCTTCTCATCCTGCTCTTGCTCCTCCTTCACTATGACCTTCAGCTGCTGCTGCCACCGCCATTTCAGGGATTCCTGGGACATGCGCTGCCGTGTGGGCTCAATCGCCATCCAGGGCAACTTCTCTTCCTTCTCCAGCTCCTCTGCCTCCAGCTCCTTCTTGCCTGTCTCCTTCACCTCTTCCAGCTCCTCTTGTTCCTCTTCTTCCTCCTCCAGCTCCTCCTCCTCTTCGCTCTTCTCCTCCTCTTCTTCCATTTCTTTCTTCCCCAGGCTCAGTTCGTCCTCCTCCTGCTCCTTGCCTTTGTCTTCCTCCCAGCTGCTGGAGGATGGAGACAGGACTGGCGCTAAGTGTAGGCTGTTGTTTTGGGCCATGAACTTGGCTGACTGCTCACTCCAGAACTGGCAGAAGTAAGGTATCTTCTCCACCAGGTGTTGGTCCACGGCCTCATGGAAGATCTTGTCTTCTAGCAGACCCCTGCATGGCAGGGAGGAAGAGAAGGTCCTTGTTGAGAGGCCTTGCAGCCCCCTGTGGGTCTCTGACTTCCGTGTTCCCCAAGGGGCAGTGCCTGCCTACTATGTCTACAAATGGGTGCTAAGCGGGGAAGGAGACCTCTTAGTTGCCCCCTCTATCCCTTCTTTGGAGGAGGGCACCTCTGGGCCCTGTGGGTTCTTAGAGGCAGAGCCAGGAGGTCAGAGTCACACAGACAAGGGACAGGAGTCCTGGGTAAACAGTGAACTGGCTTGGACCTTATCTACCAGCCATGGACAGGACAAAACTTAGGATCCAGCCCTGAGGATTCCTCTAGCCAGCTCCATTAGAGCTGCCCTATCCTGGGGCCACCAGTGGAAGGACCTTGTAAGGAAGTTCTAGTTTTCAAGAAAGGAAGGGACTTCAGGGCCCATGGGGGAACCCAGAGTTGGCTGAATGAGTGCAGAGAGATGAGGGGGGTGATGAGGGTCCGGGGGTGGGGGTTGTCACCTGATGATGGCGGTGAGACAGTCAACCAGGAGTTGCTTCTCCTGCTTGGAGACAGGGGCCCACTTGTCAGGGGATTCTTCCTCAGAAGCCACCAACTCCTTCCTGGGGCATTTTCTCTTCGGCAGCTCCCTGGAACAGGCCGTGACATTCTGAGTGGTCTGGGCAAGCCACCATGCTGGGGGTGGGGTCATGAGCAACGGTGGTGGTGATGCAGTCATGAGAACATAGATGAACTTGGGGCAGGCCCTGGCTTTGGCCCAAATATAGTGCTACTGCATTTGGGGAACCAAGCCCAAACCTGAGTCGGCACAGAATCTGAAGAGGCTCCAAGTTGGCAAGGGAAAGAAAGTGGTGGGGCAGGAAGCCTAGTGAGGTTCCCCAGGGGGCAGAGACCCCTCCCTCCCTGAGAGTTCACCGGTGTAAGAAGTGGCCGGGAAAGTCGGAGAAGAAGTTGGCCAGGAAGTAGTCGGTGGCGTGTGCACGGGCAGTGAGGCCCAAGCACAGTATGCCTGGTGAGGGCAGCTGGGGACACAGCCAGGATGGCTCCTCCTTTGAGATCTTAAGGTTCCAGCTGGCAGGCCGGTTGAGAGGCTGCTGATTCTTGATGGGGGGCAGCGTCTTCGAAAAGGGGGAGATGTGGATGACAGGGGTTTGGGGACTCCATTCCCATCACCGATGGGTCCCTATCTCCCAACCAGGCCTTTAGGGCCAAATAGGGGTGTGACCCCTTCCTTCCAGGAAGCTGGGCCAGCAGTTGGAGGTATCTCTGGAAGCAAACAAGGATCTTTCAATTTATCCCAAGGAGATGGGGTTAGGACCTCACCTTGTACTTCCTCACAGGTTCACAGGCTGTACAATATGCCCTTCTCTGTGGAAGCAAAGAGACCTGTGCTTAGGATATAAGACGCCTAGAGGGACTCCCCTCTTCCTACCCTTCCTGCTGACCCACGGAGGGCCTAAAGCCAATGCCAGGATCTGCCGCCCTCTTGATCCCACCCAACTCCCAGTCACACCCTTTTCCAGGACCTTCCCTAAGGAAGGTCTGCCTGCAGACAAGGAAAACCAGATAACCCAACTGAAGGAAAGAGAAAGAACATGCCACCAAACATGTGCAGGCTGTCCCAAGGGAGCGTGTCCTTGTGCCTTGGAGCTTTGTGGTTTGGTGTGGTAAGAAAACACCCTCCCTCATTAAGATGTAATTCAGAAATCCCTTCTCCCATACCCTCAAGACATGATTTGCGTTCACAGTTGGGCCACAGTTTCAGAGGGGAGCAGTGCTTCCCTGGGGGTTCAGTGTGGTGAGGACAGAGGTGATCAAGGTGCACAAATACTAGCACAGGGGGGCTGTGAAACCAGAGGAAGAACTAAGATGGATGTTTAGTCTCATGCTTATTATCAGTCTCTTCCTATAAATACTAATAGCCATGTTTAGCACATGCTTACCTGGTGCCCGGCACTATTGGAGGCACTTTTCTTGTATGACCTCATTTAATCCTTACAACAATGCTGCAAAGCAGGTACTATTTTTCTTGCATCCAAAAATATTTTTTAAACTTTTATTTTTAACCTTCTTAATATGGAAATTTTCGAATACCGGAAAGGGGAGAGAATGTACAAAGAGTCTTCCATTATCCACCAC